CCCAGGGATCCAGTGCTCTCTCCTGCTCTTTGTGGGCACTAGGCACAATGTGGTACGAAAAAGCAAACACATAGAAATAAATCAATCCGAAAAAAAGAATAAATTAAAATACAGAGTTCTCATTTTCCCCATATGGCATTTGCGGTAGCTTTAAAAGTTGTTTTTAAATCCCAAACTCGAAATTTCATCTGTTGCATAAGGGTTTTTGTGAATTTTCTTCTTGAGAGACAGATGTATCAAAATTTCGGATTTGTTCCAGTGGAGCTCAATTTAATCAGTTTAATTTACTTAAATTATAAAAAATCCCTTTGTGTGGTGGTTTGAATGAGAACTCTCCCCTACAGATGCAGATATCTGAACACGTGGTCTCCTAGATGTAAGGGAGCCCCTCCCCCAAGTGAGTACGGGACACACCCAGATACCAAATTCTCAGCACAAGGGAGATTTATCATTCCTGGAGGGGAAAGCGTGGGCTGCAAAGGCAGCGGCTGGAAGCAGCTGGAAGCAAGCAGGTGCTTCCTAACGGGTGGGTTTTTAAGCAAATCTTTTTAGGGTGAGCTGCTGACTCCTGATTGGTCATGTGAGCCAAATAATAAGGTTGATTGCTGGACCTGAGTGTTCTGCCTCAGGAATGAGTCCCTGGACAAATATGGGAATGGACCTTCCGTGCTAGCTTTAGGAATGTATCCTAACTGCTTTTAGCAAGGGCTGGAGAGGGTAAAAGGCGAAACCTGCTAAATCCATGTTTGCCATGCCCAGGCCTGTTGGAGCCCTTCGCGAGCACTGTTTGGCAAGCTGTGGAACCTTCAGGAGGTGGCCAGTTGTTGGAGCAAGTACAGCGCCGAAGGCAGTTTTGAGCTTGCAGCTTTCTGTACTCCCAGTTCACCCTCTCTGCACCAAGCCTGCCAAACTGCCCGCTCACCGGCTCCACCCCCTGGCATTAGAGATTGAACCCAATGGGGTCCTGTGCGGGGCTAATCAAGTTCTCTGCTACTGAACCCCATCTCCGGAGTTTAGACACACTTCTTGGAGGAAATCATTAAAATGGAAACTATGTGGATGTCACACAGTTTCTAGATACGGGACAGTAGGGCATTGGCTTTTGTTCTGTAGGCGGTGCTAATCTTCCTCAAAGATCTCTGAGCTAAGAAGCAGCATCATTACATCCCTTGGGAAGAGGCCTCTGGGCCAGTGAGAAGCTTCTGCCAGTAGGTGAAGCACTGTGCAGCATCAGTGCCGCCTGGGGTTTGACAAGTGAAAAGAATCTCGAGTTTAATCCGCGCAAGCGATTGATTGAGAAACTCTGGGGAATGAGGGGCCGCGCTGATAAAACCTGAAATTTAGAGAATAACCAGTTTGGAGGAGCAATAGGGGCCAAGCAGGTGCCAGTTACCAGAGGCTCAAGATAGTCAGGGAGCCGGAGTGGAGAATAAGGAATCTGGAAAGAATGGCATTGTGATGGCTAATATTGATTGTCAGTTTGACAGGCTGCAATCCCCTGTGCACACCAGTGAGGGTTTATCTCTGTCAGGTTAACTGAGGGGGGGAAGACACACCCTAAAGGACGGTGGTATCATTCCTTGGGCTTAAGTTTTGGACCACGTAACCTAGCCAGGCACTAAAGTTCATCACACTCTGATTCTTGACTGTGGAATCCATGTGACCAGATTCCTCAGCCTCCTGCCCACCTGCCACAGTGGACTACATATATCTTCTCAAACTGTAAGGTGAAACAAGTCCTTCCTTCCTTGAGTTCTTTTTGTAAGAAAGGGTAATTTATCACAGCAACAAGAAATATAGCTAATGCATGTATTAATCTGTCCCTGGAAGAGGGCTTCAGGTACTTTGTGGGGTACCTCCTTACACATCTTAGAAGATGCTCAATCCTGGTACTACCTCTGACATTTTTACACATTCATCCATTTCATAGACACTCAATGAATTGGGAGTCATTCAGTCCTACCAAGGAGACTACAGGCCAAATCCCTCCATGACCATCACTGGTTTTATTGGACCAGTCCTTCCATGAGCCCTATAGGTAAAAACTGAACACCTTTAGTTATTAGTGGCTGTGTTGGTTAATTTTATGTCATCTTGATAAAACCAGTCATGTGAGAAGAGGGGACCGAAACTGAGAAGATGCCTCTAAAGATTGGCCTGTAGTGCATTTGTAACATTAGTGATTAATGGGGGAGGGGCCAGAGCACTGTGGTGGTGCCACCCCTGGACTGGTGGTCCTGGATACTATAAGAAAGCAGACTGAGCAAGCCAGTAAGCAGCACTCCTCCATGCCTCTGTATCAGTTCCTGCTCCCAGGTTCCAGACTTCCAGAAGTGATGAACTATTATTACCTGCTGGGGTCAGGCCTGTATCAACCCTACAATGCAGGGGCCATCTATCCTGGACTGAGGTCTTTGGGGCTGTGTTCAGAACCAGCCAAAACAGCCCCGGTTTCGACCCTGAGTGGGGGGGAGTGTGGATCAGAGAAGTCCTGGCTACCTGATGGCATTAAGAACAAGACGAAGACATCTTGTCATTTCAGGAGGCCTCACAGTCTGTACTGGAGACAACGGTTTACTCAAGCATCCTCTTATATAGCTTTCTAGAAAGGGTACTGCCTAAAGACATCTATTGTCATATACATAGGGCTGACTGGGAAACACTTCCTTTAACCCTAGAGATGGTCCTAGAATGCAAATACACAAACCCCTGGACCTCAGGTGGTGTGCCTCACTGGACCCCAGGCATGTCCCCATGATGGGTGTGGGGCCTAGGTCTATTGTTACACAAACTAGAAGGCATTCCCCACTGTGCCAGGCCATCTGAAGGTAACAAGCCAATATCTAAAAGACAGTAGGAGATTCCAGCTCTTGGAATTGAGCCGAGGCCTACAATGAAATATCATATTCGGGTCCCGACAGGAGTCCATATGCAAAGTGGTTAGGATATCGAGATTTTGTATCTAGAGATAAACTTGGTAGCCCCTGTCACACCACCCAAATAGAACACTGATAAATAGAAACGTTTGCTGATATAAAACTAGAATCTGAAGATGAAAAGGACCTAAGATATCCTTTATATCAGACTGTAGAAGCAGAGCTTTTAAGAGGCTTCTTACTTAGGATATCATTTACATAAAAGGGGCATTCTTCTGCCTTCAGGTCCCCTTCTGTTTTATCCACTGTGCTTAGAGGTACTTGCCAGGCTCCAGGCACTGTAAAGAATTATGAGTTCTAACAGATCGTTGACAAAAATAAAGGAAAACAATTTTATACCTAATTTGAAACTCCAGTTTGGGCAACTGAGTAGGAATAAAATTTAGTGAATTCAGACTCAGAAGTCAAGATTAATTTTCCCTGATGTCACTCACAAAGTAGAAGGTAAATAGGACAAGTTCACTGGTGGTTTGGTGCTCTTCCCAGCACCACTTACAGACCCCACTCCTGGTCTATATTTCCTCTCCTGATGAAGTACTATGACTTGACCGTTAATGGACTTGTTTTTTACATATAGCAGAGTCTGGCTCCCAACTTGCTACTGAAAAGACCCCAACTCAACGTTTTTAGACCCCTAGCAACTAGCCCATCACAGAGTAACTTGTCCTTCTGCCCTCTCCTGAAAAACCGGTGATAAAAGATAACACTCCCTGATCCAGGAACTAGCTCACCACATTCCTGTACAAAGCCCAAAGAATGCTTGCTTGAGATAACCTATAAACTTCCTGTTATCATTTAACTTCCTCATCCTTTGTGATGCTTACCTAACTCCCCCATTCTTTATGGTTTTTCCCCTTTAAAGCCCACAGACTGCACCTACTGGGGATTGAACTCCTCTGCCCCTGTGAGGTTTATGAGCTTGGCCCCAGTGCACTGGTTCCCCGAATAAACCTCGTGTGCTTGCATCAAGAACGGTCTCTCTTGAATTATTGGGGCGTTGGCTTATCCCCAGACTTGAGTGAGGGTCTCCCCACTCTGGGGGTCTTTCACTACATAGCCAAAGGATGACTTGAATTCCTGATCCTTCTGCCTCCCAAAATGTGCTAGGCTATAGGCATGGAATGTTGGATTTTTTGACACTTCCAAAGGCAATTAACATTTTCCCAACACATTCAGTGTTTCAATTCTCAGACATTACCATGTAATCTACTTCTGACCTTTCAAATGAAATGTCTTTGTTTCCCAGTTTTACATTATTTCCATTGAAACATAAAAATGACTTTAAAAATCATCCACAAGTGGACAGTGATGACCCAGAGAATAAAGGGTAGAAGGAAAAAGGACGCCAAGAAGTTGTCCTCTGACCTTGCACCATGGCCAGTGGGATGTGTCCTCTGGAAGAGCAGCAAGTGCTCTTAACCACAAGTCATTTCATCAGTCCTAATAGAAATTAAGCCATGAAGGCTAAAGGCTAATTTAATATTGATTCATTCTTTACTAACCACAGTGATCTTGAATACTACACTTTCCTAGTTTTAAACATGCTTTAAAAAGCCAGTTGAAATATGCTCGTGCTTTATTCATTTTTACAAATTTTTACCTTATGTATATGGATATTTTACTTGCTTGTATGTTTGTGCAACACACACACACAAAGTGTGTCTGGTGCCCTTGGAGGCCAAAACAGGGCACTGGAAAACCAATTGGACTGGAGTTAGTTATAAGCAGTTGAACCTTGTTCTCCAGAAGAACAGCCAGTGCTCTTAACCTAAGCCATCTCTCCAGCCCCCTAAACTTTTATTCTTACTAGATCAACTTGAATAAAAAATTCAAATTGTTCACAAACAGCTAACTTGATAAGCAGAGTTAGATTGAACAAAACATTCAATGTAGGTCAACTATTTGATTTAAAAAAGGAGTAGGAAGGATGAAGGAAGAGGAGGAGGAGGATTACTACTACTGAGCTTGATCTCTGGGACTGGTGGCTGGGTGTACCCCTGCCCCCAACACACACACATACAGTAAATAAATTAATGTAACAAAAAATTACTTGGCACTATCAGATAGATAACAAAATATGTTTTATTTTTGTAAAGTTAAAAATAGTAGACAAGCTTATCTAGTTACAGTTTCAAAGCAGAATACAAATATATAAATTATTGCATGTAACAACCCAGATGACTAAATAAATGTTTTTGAAACAAGCTTAGTTTTAACCACAGCAGTTTCATTTCCATTTTCTAAATGTCAGCACAATAGTTTAAAATAAACTTCTAACAGCAGAGATTAAGTTCAATGACTACAGCATATGCTAGTCAGGTTTAAAGCAACCTCTCTCTCTCTCTCTCTCTCTCTCTCTCTCTCTCTCTCTCTCTCTCTCTACACACACACACACACACACACACACACACAATCACTACTAAATACTCTTTAAACCACCTCTTTTGGAAGCAGTAGGATGGGGAAAAGTAAAACACCACCATAACACCAAAACAAAACCAACTACCCTCCCGAAGCAAATGTAGCTGGTGCACTTTGAATAAATACATCTCTATGACACTTTTGCTTCACGTTGGTAAACTTGAAATTCCAGAAAAATTACCAAGTAATTATAACAGAGACTCCTTCTAACTAAAAATAATGGTGAAGGTAAGGTATGATTTATAAACCAAGCGTTAAAAACCCTGACGTTCCAGACCCACATGATCCCATTCACATCAAGGCAGATGCAGCCTGAGGTTGCGGAGGTGAGGGCTGATGCAGGTGAATGACATGAAATGCAAGGCCAAGTCACGTTCTTCTCAGCCCAGTGTGAACTCCCTTTTCCTCACAGAGTCCTATTATTCCAGCCCATAAACCCTCTGTGCCCATCACCACAAAGAGTAACGTGGCAAGGGCATTTATTCAGGGCTCTGTCCTTCAGTGATTTTTTTTTTAAACCGAATTTCCTCAAAAAAAAAAAAAATCTGGTCAAGGTAAAAATGGAATCAGCCCAAAATCAAATCAAGTCTCTGCTTTAAAGTGGTAATAGAGGGCAAGTTTTTATACTCATGAACTTTTAAAATAGTCACATATCTTGCTTTAGCATGGACCAATAGTAACATTTGTCAGTAAATGAACTGGCAAAAAGGTAAAAAAAGAAAGTTAAAGTAACAATATAGTCTACCTTTAAAGTATTTCATGTACATGTAATTACTTTTCATGGTCACAAATCTGAATCCTTTAAAAAGCTACATAAACCTTTAAGATTCCTACTTAAGTTTGAGCACACCTGTTTCGTGCTACATACAATGTTAACAAGGAAAGCAGGTTTCTCCTGAAAAGAAAGAAAATAAAACTCAAAGTGGTAAACATTAATACAAATGGATCAGAATAATTAGTCTAAAAATTAACAGAAACCTAACAGGTCTCCGAAGTGTAAACACCAAGATAAGCATTATACAGACAATCGAAAAAGGTAAAAGCCATTTTCAATAGCAGATATGATACAATACAAAACCAAGGAATCATACACTACCTACCACATAGCAACAGAATATATTTCTGAAATCCCTTGCCAACATGAACACATTTTGAGAAATAATCCTCAAGTGTTTATAAAAATGGGCACTTTATGGTGAAATGAACATATAGCTTAGAAACCAATACTGTATCCAAGAATCCCACTATGAGACAAAGCGACTGCTTGGGCTTACCACCACGGTGTCTCAACTGAATGCCTTTTCCACCTAAGTAATTCAGAAACTAATACTAGAGTCAAAGGATAAGTCTATAATCTAAAGAGAAATGTTACAAGGTGGGACAATGGCAGTGTATGTTGAACCTTGGCATTCAGAAGGCTAAAGCAGTAAGAGTGATGGTAAGCTTGAGGCCAGCCTGGACAACATAATAAAACCCAAACCAAACCCTGTGTATTTACTAAGGTAACGGGAATTAAACCCAGGGCCTGATGTACATCAGGCACATAAAAACACCAGTCTTTAAAGACAAAAGGCTAAAATCACATTTGACTTCTGATTTTAAAACTCTTTATCTTGTTTAACTATGAAATCTACTATGACAAAGTTTTACCTCACTCCTCACTCCCAGAAGCTCTGAAACATAAGGCTTCACTATTACTCTGTCTCCTGTTATTTTTAAACAGTGAAATCATGTGAGTTTCTTCTGAACTTTCTCAAAACATACTGACAACTATTTAGAAAGAACCAAATATAGAAACCATTGTGATAGATCATAGCTCCCTAAATTGTAACTCGACTCCGTTCTCAACTTTATTTATGCTTATACAATAATTGCATATTCAATCAGGAAAGCATGTGAAGCGAGGTGTAGGATGTATACCTGAATCACAGCACTGTATCTCTTCCTGAGTCAGGAGAAATGCCACCAACACCAGGCCAGCCTGGCCTACTTAGAAAATTCTAGGCCAGCCAAAGCTACGTAGCATGACCCTGTCTCAAAACAAACAAACAACCAGCAACAACACAACCAACTACAAGTAACTGGTAGGTAAACAATATGAAATACTATACTCCAACAAAATTCACAGGGATGAGTACTAGTGTCACTACCAGCACCAGATATAGACTCAGGAGCACCATTCTGTGACATTTCAGGTGAAATATCTGAATGAAATGAGTTGGTACGTGGGAAAATCTCAATCAGTCAAAACTCCTTTGTAAACTAAATGTTTGCCAGAAAACTCTCCAAAGAGTTCAGCAAACGTTTTCTTTGGATAACACTGGTATTTAGGACTGCACCATATGTCTCCTATGATGGAAACACTAAGTACTGCACACACCAAATACTAAGAATCCTAGCCTCCCATGACTGCCCTGACTGCCTTTACACCATCAAGACAGAAGCCCAAATGTGTGCAATATGCTGGCTGCTGATACTCTTAATGAGTTATGCCAAGCAGGAGAACAGTCAGACTTGAAAATGTAACCATAACAACGAAGCACTAAAATACTTCCTGGCATAATCAGGACACATCTTTCCTCGGCTTGTAAATGTAGATACTTCCATATTGCACACATTCACTGTAAAGCTTATCAAAACTAAGGCAATGCATTCATCTCCACTCTCCAGAGTTTAAATTCATTTTGGATGACTCAAAACACTGAAACAAAACAGTATAGTTTTCAAAAATTCCCTCCAGAAAGCTTCAAAGTTCAGTTTTATTCAGGAAGATGCAGAAACAATGGGGTACCAACTAAGGCACAGACCCAGGCCAATTTAGTACATCTTAGCATTAGGAAAAGGTGGCTTTGCTACAAGAAGTATTTCTTTTTGATTAGTCAAATAAAATACTATTTGTGTTTGACATTGAAGTCTGGCCCTTGCCCAGACAGACTGTCAACACCAAGGCAGAAGTCATCTTGATGCCTGCAGCTGCCAAGTTAATGGGCTGTCTTTCCTTAGAACTACCACACAAACGCATTCTAAGCACCAGCTAAAAACCACCTAGAGCCTGTCTTAATGTTGGATGGTCACAGCTTTTATTAGTTAAGAATCTAGAATCTAAGTAGCTTATAATATCTTTTTAAAAATAGGCTTATTTTATTGAGTGTTGACTTTTTTTTGTCCCACAACCTTCTCTCCCTTTAGATTTTAAAACTTTGAAAGGTTCTTTCCTTTTTTTTTGACTAATTTCAGTGATAATTGCTAGCATAATTTGGAATTTCATGAGAAGAGGCACACATAATTTTATCCCTCCCAAAAAAGAAAAAACAGGACAAGTACCGTCTGAGGACAGGAATTACACCGCTACAATGGACTCAGGGCTGAGAGATGATTTCACTCTACCCCAAAACAAACACAGCAGAGAAAGTCATGAGAGTTAAGAGAGAAAAGAGAAGTGGGCTTCTGCTTTTCCGGAGACTGACACACAAGAAGCAGGGTAGTATTTCCTTCCTAAGCTAATCCAGAGCTGCTTCCCTTAGAAAACAATAATGTGCTTTAGTTCCTTGGATATTTGCTTTAGAGCGTGATCAATCTCACTTTCAAATGCTACTGGTATTTAAGACAGCTCAGCTAGGTAGACTGCTCTCTCCAAATACTATCCAAACACATTTATCTTTGGAACGAAAGATAGCAGTTATAAAAACACTGTATCCCCAAAATGCAGTGATCTTCCTAAGGGGCAACATATTCACACATGAAAGTGCAAATACACATGGCCATTCACATACACATTTACAAAGACAATGAAAAATACCCAAAATAGCAATTTTATATATAAAATTTAATATTAAAATATTGCTCATAAATAAGGTGATATTATGAATTCTACTTCCTTCTCAAAAATTATCTCTGGTAGTTAAGATTTAGCATAAGACCTAATTAGGCTTCTATTGTTCTGACAGCTGAGTTACAATGGAAAATGTCCAATAAAAACAGACAGTAACAGTATATTTTAGTCACACATGGTAAAAGTTAGGGAGGGGCATTTAGTGATTATAAGAAAAAGTCCCCAAATGAAGCCAAATGATTAACCCTAGACTAGAGTGATTTCTTTATTAGATTAAGATAATAAATTATTATCTTTTGTTTTGCAAGTACAACAACCATAAAAATGGACCATAACTTTCTTCAAACATATTTGAGGTACACATGCTTGGCAGACTACCAGAGGGTAAAGCACAGACGCTACGTTCAGCTAGTTCAGTTGTTTATGGGCAGATGTGACCTCGGTCCTGCCCGCCCCACCTGCAGGCATGGTAACTTGGAACAGTTCTTGAGAAGCTGCTCGATAGCAACATGGCGGACATGGAGCTCAGACGCCAAAGAGTCTTTCTCTTGCACTTGCTGCGTTAACTCTTCAAAAACTTCTGTTGAGGATTTAAAAGGTAGTTTCAGTTTTAGTGCATGGAATGCGTTTAACCCTAAGACTTCTATTTTAAGGAAATACAGGTAGGATGCATTGGGTAAATTTAAGAAGAAACTAATTGATGCCAAGGAAAACAGAGGTTTTCTCCTAAGCTTATCAGTGCTAATTGATCATCCTGTTACATTTCTTATAGATACTGAGATGCCATCTCTTCTCCATCAAGGGCAAGCTGAGAAAGACTGTCGTATACAGAGCAGAAATAGCGGCCACCACCTGAGCCACTTCTCCGTTATAACCTACTAATAGGTTCAATCAGTATGTAATGACTTATCAGATAAATACTCAGGCCCAGAAACTCCAAGATGCTTGGAACAGGTTACGTGGGTTTCCCAAATCTTTGCTCCGACAATCATGTGTGTATGTGTGTGCTTCAGCTAAGTCATCTACAGCTTCTACATGAATTTCCTTTCACGGGTAAGTTCACATGGCAAACAGCTCACAGGGACACCGAGAGAGTTAAATGAAGCCCTACTTGTAAAGAACAGTAAGTATTTAAGGAACGTAAACTGGGATAACTAGTGCTATTTTATTGTTTTCAGAGGCTTGTGTGCTACAAGTTTTGCAGTTAAGTCTGCTACTGACTGAATGAATAATCTCTGTAAGCAACTTTCAACGAATTGCCTCACTTAAATGACAATGGCTGGAAGAAAAGACAATGGGGATGTGACTACTGTAGGTGTTGATGTCTATGATGATACTAAAGAATTATTAGTGTTTTGCTTTTTTTTAAATAGCTGATAACGAGTATGTAACTGCTTGTTTTATAAACAAAACATATTTATTGTCAGGGATCTCAAAGTAATCCACGCAGGTGGTTTTGGTGGTGAAAAAGGAATGGAAACAATTGGGAAGGAAAAGTCAGCTATGTTTTAGTTACAGTTGAAGCTGATGACAACAGGCAGTGGCCACTATTTTCATGTGTTTCATACGTTTCTAGTTTCTATAGATAACCAGGGCTAATAATACTGTCCTAAGGAACTATCGGGACACATAACCCGAGTGCGTGACCCACAATGAAGTCACTGATGGCTGCCGTCTCCATTCTGCTTAAGATTATTTTTCCTTAAGGTCCTAATGAAACTATCCCTTACTGTTGCCTCAGAAACCTCAACAGGTCTGAAAATCTTCATTTCCAAATTTAAATACTGCAGAAACTAGCAATGCTCAACTATAGGGAATATGTTGTAGCAGCATTTTTCACACAGAAGAAAAAGCATTGAGACTGATTCTTTACCCTGGATTTGCTGTTGGAGCTTTGTATTCAGTTGTTCTACTTCACCAAGAGTCATTGAATTCACTGAAACATGAAAAGACATTCATTGTTACCACAGACAACCTAGGAAAGGGCTGGTTCTTACGGTACACCAAATTCTAACCATGAAACCCTCGTAAGAAACACACTTTATATACCACTACCAGTAACCTCCATCATCCACAGGAAGTAAGAGTTTCAAATAAGTCAAAAGAAGCGTAGTCAGACTGCTGGACTCTGATAGCTCCTCTGTCACTGTCCATTTACACGACTTTGAGGAAGCTTTGGATAAGGCATGACCCGGGGTTAAAATATTGTGAATGTCTAATTTAAATAATGTCATATTTGAAATAATGTGAGATGTCTAGTAAAACAACCTTTACAAGAAGAATCAAGAACTGGTCTAAAGACATAGTCAAGGTCCCTTTGGAGCTAAAATATTTTAAGTCAATTAAAATCACCCCAGTGAAATTTTGTAGAAAAGATACAGAAAAAAGATGTCACTTAAAATTCTAAAATCAATGTTCATATTACCTTCTACCCTTTAGTAAATTGCCAGATGTTTGTTTTTAAGTTGACCTCGTAACCAATTAGTCTTATAAGAGGTTAGCAACATGACGATGTATACTGGCCAATAGCTCCAGTTAGACAAACAGTAGCAACCCCGAACTTTCAATTCACTGTGGTAATTCCATTCTATTTGGTCATTAGAAGTGACAAAATGAATGATGGTGCCAGTGAAATTCAGTATGTAATACATACTCAAGAACCTTCCAGAAGTTTTTTCTTTTTCTTTTCCCATTTGACCTTTTTTATTTAAATTAGAAACAATCTTATTTTACATATCAATTTTAGAGAAGTTTTAAGCCATCTCAATTTTGCTGAGGTGAATCTGTCACTAAAATATTATATTCACAAAAAGTCTATAAATTTGCATTAAAAACAAACACACACACACAGAGAGAGAGAGAGAGAGAGAGAGAGAGAGAGAGAGAGAGAGAGAGAGAGAGAGAGATCTAGCCAACTGAAACCAACTACTAACCAACCCCCCCCAAAAGGAACAAGCTCCAGTCTCCACCTCCTTCCTTCCCACACTACTTACGCTCCTCTCTGCTGTAACGCGGATTTTGGGTCTGGACATCCTCTGGACCAGAGCTCGTCTCTTCTTTTTTCTGTGCCTGATTGTGGTTGTGAGGCCACAGTGCATCCGAGTCTTGCAATATAGCAAGCCCAAAGTCTGTATTTTCCCTCTGCTCCAAAATTCTTTGTTTATAGCTTGAGAGTCCCCCCGTGTCCCCAGCCATCCCTTTCACAGAGTACTTTGGCACTTGAGAGTCAAACTGAGGAAGTAACTTCTTATCTGGCTTATGCCGGAAATTAAACAGGTGATGTCGGGTATTTTTGGAACACTCAGAATCCAAATCCATATCCTTATTTTGCGCATACTGTACAATCCAGTTTATCTTCTTAGTCAGGAGGGTTTTAACTCCTTCGTACGTACTTTTAGAAAGCTTGGATCGAGAACAATCCTGGTTTGCAATTAAATGATATTTTTCAAAGCAGTCTTTATGGCCCCGCAATGATCTGGTATGTAAAAGATTAGACTTTGGTACTCCTAAAGCACAAAGAAGACAGGATGAAAACCCAGAAAATATTAAGTTTCTTAATAAAACATCGCTTTAAGTACAAACGAATTGTAGTGAAAGAACTCATTTGCAAATTAGAGGAAAAGATTAATGAGTATTGACACCGATAACACAAAATGTAGCCTAATCGCATTATACTCAAAATATTTTTATTCACCACTGTGTGGGTTCACTTGCACGTGTATGTGTGCTCATACAGGCTGTTGTATGTGTGGAAGCCCAAGGTCACCAAAGTGTGTCTCTCCTGGGTGCTGTCACCTCTACTTCTTGAGGCAGGATCCTTACTGAACTTGAACCTCAGTGGTCTGGCCAATGAACCTCTGTGCCCATCTCTCTGCCTAGTTGGCCTGCATTCTAGGGACCAGAGGCAGGTCTCATGCTAACACAGCAGGGGCTTTACTTGACAGAGCCATAGCTCCAGCTCAACAGGAATATTTTTATGACTAGCAAAGACCTTCGAAAACCATGAGTCTTTGAGTCTCAGTCTACTGGCGCAGTACATACAGTATAACTCTGCATACTGTAGTCAGGTGTAGTTCCCAGCAATCCCTAATCTTCATGAACTTACAATGTTCGATTAAAAAGTGCTCAAGGGTTGAGGGAGGCCTCAGTGCACAGACTTGCTGTGCAAGTGTGAGGGCCAGAGTTTGGATTCTCAGAGCACACAGTGAGCTCTGGCCTTAATAAATGGAGTGATCCCAGGAGACACCCAACATCAACCTCAGGCTTCCACACGATGCACACATGAATCTGCACATGTGCACCCATACAAATGAACACGATTACATACATTAAACCCATTTACCCCAGAAAGGTATTCTGCCAACAAAACATACATTAATCATATTCTTTAAGAAAATTGTTTTTAAAAAGGATATTATCAAATCCAGACTCATTCACTCTTCTTCAATTCCTCCCCTATTCTTACCCAGCCACAGGCCTACGATTTACCCTGCCACTGGTTCTTGGTCTAGTATATCAATTTTGGTACCAGAAAAGAGTTTTGTCTGACCGAATTGGCCTTACATCAAACCAGAAACGACTGGTTACTCCTGTAACATTGTTGCCACTACTGACCAGTGCGCATGTCTTGCCAGGCCGGTCGTTATTCCCAGCCCGACAAGACTATGTTTTTCCTCTGGTAGCATACACAGTACCTTGCAGCACTATGACGACAGCCAGTAGGGATGAAATATACAGGTTGGGGGCAGACTGATATTGCCATCTTTAGCACAGGATCGTACCACCAAGTTTTAGAGGGTAACCAAGAGCAATGGGAATATCTGTAATGTCCGAGGGTTTATGGGACTTCATTAACTAGTTATGTTCTTACTTGGAAGATACATACCAGAATCAGAATACATAAATAAATATATTATATATATATAAACACAAAAGCCTTACAAATGCAATCAACTGTTTCAATTTACTTTGTAAGAAAACCAGAATGTCTACACCTTTCCCAGCTTAATTTTGCACCTATTAACAGTTATCAAGGTAATTTTATCTAGAAGAAATGAATTACACACAATTATTACTCATACAGCACATTAGCTGGTATAAATTCAACTCATAAGTATTCATGACATACAAAAAAAAATAGAAATATTTTGACTATCCTTTTATAGCTCCCAGTTTTCTTAGTGGAACTTTTAGGATACATTTTCAAATTCAAAATGTTTTTCAAAATAGTCATACATTTTTTATAATTCAAGGCATATTATTAAAGTCAAACAGTCTTCCATACTGAAGGTAAATCAGGCATGTAGAGTTTTAAATTACTTGTCTCCCAGAATGACTCAGTCTAAATATGTGTGAAAATGGACTAAGGAAAGCCAGTGAGATGCTAGGTTAAAAAATAAACAAACAAAACTAAAAATCACATTTCAAGGGACATGGAAAGTTACATTCCTTATTCCCTGTTACCTTTAAAAGCTCAAACTGCAATTTTATTAGAAATTGAAAGTCTGATAAATAGCAAGATAATGTAAAATTTGTGTTTCAGTGGCATAAAGAGAGAGATAAAAATGCCATGCTAACTAACATCCACCGGGACTTGGTCAGCTTGCCCCAAATCTCATCCTGGGTGGCCTATGAGCTCTGCACCCTGCGTGCATGCTTGGTGTAACCTACAGCTTTCGCTCTTCCATGATCCAGAGGCTCCCACCATGTCGGAGTGAGACTCCTCTGCTTCCACTCTCAACATTTAAATCCCAGTCTCTCCGTGAGTGTGGGAACCGCCAACCAGTCTAGGAAGAGAGTGGAGCAGTGCTCCTCAGAGTCCTCCTGCCCCATGCCCAGATGTTCGCTACTCTTCTTAAAGCTCTCTTCCTCCCTTCTTTTCCTCCTCCTCCCCCTCCCCCTCCTCTTTCCTCATTCATAAAAACCTTAAACCCCACTTCACCCACTGCAAACCCGGGCCATTACCCACATCTTCTCTCTAGTTCTCACTTCCTCTAAGACGTCTTCTCTAACCTACACACCTAGGTTAGTTATTACACGGGGATTTTGCAAAGGCCTCTTCACTGGCTTTTGTTTCTTGCCAGGTAAGTTCTGTGTAGAAAGGGGTCATTATCTAGCTTACTCATCGGCAACCCCTGGTCCCAGTGTCTGCCTTGCAATAAGAAGTGGTTAATTACACCAGGGAAAGTTAAAAGGATATTTAAAAAGCAGCAGCATCAACACTAGCAATACAAACCTTATTTTACCAGCTGCAGGTCTTACTTAAAGGGTAGTAGGCAGTTTGGGCAGCTTACTCAGGACAATTAAGGGCACCTGTCAGTGAAGTCATTCCTACACTTTAGAGGATGACTGAGAAGTGGTAAGCGGCATTAATACATAAATAGATTCCTGTGGTATCGGTCTGCCAAGAAAATCATGAAGTTTACTTCATTGGGTATTTTAAACTGCAACTCACGTAAGCATACAAGGGCTGATTCATATAAACTCCTGCTTATCCAGTGAGATCCGAACTTTTAATATTTTTGGTTAGATTATAATAAAATTTTTACCTCGCTCGCTAAATTTTAAAATTCAATTTGAAAATATCTGTAAACATACTTTAACTATCCCATGCAAGATCAAACAAAGAATTAAAACGATAATACCATGACTACTTCATAGATACTTAATTTTTCATATAGAAAAAATGTGTCTCAATTTATAATAGCAGTATACCTGTCATCTTACATAAACTCTTAAGTGGTTATATGTTTTTCTAATTTACCATTTCATGTTAACACTGGAGACGTGACCACTTCCATTATCAGAGACCTCAGGACAGAAGTTAACACGGGAGAAGTGACCACTTCTATTATCGGAGACCTCAGGACAGAAGTTGTCAAGGACAAAAGCTGAGGCATGACACTGAGAGGTCAGAGCAGGCCACTGGCGAAGGTGGAGACCCGGGATACTGGAGATGCCAGGACTGTTGGGCATCTACTAAGGACAGCATCAGCAGCAGGCGTGGACTGGAGCTGTCGTCCTGAGTCTGCGAGGTAAGCGTGTGGGATACGGATGGCCGAGTCAGAGAAGGGAGCTGCCACAGCCCTTTGGGGCCAAGCTCCCAAGTGAGTCCCAGATTTCAGGCACTGAGCTACCAGATTTTAGAATTACATCGCTGGACTTCGGTTTTACTTACGTATGATTATTTTTTATGCCCTGGTTCTTTCCTCTTAAAGTAACAAAGTATTTAACTTACTTTGGATTTTCCAGGAGCCCAAACTTTAGAGACTGTAATTTTAAAGAGAAACTGAGCTTCTAAGTGATAGAATTTTCTAAAGACTGTGGGACTTTTTAAGGCTGTACTGTATTTTATACCGAGTATTACCAATAAGACCTTAGGGACAAATATGAAAGGAAAGGTTATGGTTTAAAGTGGTGTGTCAAAGGTGACAAGGGATGGATTGTCATCCATCCATTCAGCTGTCAACCTGACACAGCTGACAAAGTGTTTTTTATCACAGCAATAGAAAGCAAACCAGAATAAGTAATTTTCACCTAAACCTTCCTTCTATGTCTTAAAAACTCTTCTGATTACCCATCTGGCAGGCTGTCCTCACAATTACATTCTTTAATTCTCTCTTTAAAATGAAATTGCCTATCAAAGATCCCTGAGGGGCAAAAACTACTGAAACACGATTATTTACGTTACTCTTAAAAATGCCACTGTTACTCCTAAAAGTGAGGCTATTTCTGGGCTCTTATTTAACCTGCTTACTGTGGGACTAAAATGACAGGGTTTCTATGTATTGTTTTGGAGGCTGTCCTGGAACTCGCTCTGTAGACCAGGCTAGCCTCGAACTCAGAGAGATCTACCTGCCTCTGCCTCTCGAGTGCTGGGATTAAAGGCGTGAGCCACCAATGCCCGGCTAAACACTTCATTCTAAAAAAGAGGAAACTCCAAAAGTCATGTTTTTTAAGTTCTGGATGCCAAAACTCTTACAGAGTTGTACTTCTCATCCTATCCATCCTAGCCTCTTTAACTAGTAGTGAAATCAACTAAACAATGCTTTTCTTGGAGATTTACTAGCTGGTCTTGTGAAGAAACATGGTCATGCACACTGTCCCCACTGATAACAAACATGGTCCTGTACACTGTCCCCACTGATGATAAACATGGTCCTGTACACTGTGCCCACTGATGACAAACATGGTCCTGTATACTGTGCCCACTGAGGACAAACATGGTCTCACACACTGTCCCCACTGATGACAAACATGGTCCTGTATACTGTGCCCACTGAGGACAAACATGGTCTCACACACTGTCCCCACTGATGACAAACATGGTCCTGTACACTGTGCCCACTGAGGACAAACATGGTCCTGTACACTGTCCCCACTGAGGACAAACATGGTCCTGTACACTGTCCCCACTGATGACAAACATGGTCTCACACACTGTCCCCACTGATGACAAACATGGTCCTGTACACTGTGCCCACTGAGGACAAACATGGTCTCACAC